CCCAATTATACAATGTTGGGTGCTACCCAATATCGATTTGTTCACAGTTGTTTGGCATGATCCACGCTGTGCGTGAGAGAGCGTATTAGAATCCCACATTGCTTGAGAAAATATAAATGATCCACTTAATAAGGTGAGGACAATCCTCCCCTAATAAGCTGATTTTATTAGATGGAGTTGGCCCAATATTCCTGACACCCTTCATGAAGGCATGCATCTTTGCGATATTGGGACATTGTATGAAATATGCACACATATTAAGATTTAAGACCTCAATTCAGTAAACTGAAAATGAATTTTCGGGTTCCAAGAGTCATATTCTACACCAGAAATTTTTATTTTTATATTTTATATTTTATTTTATTTTTTTGTGCCTCTGTGTAGCCTGATGGTATTTTTAATCACGAGCCAACCAACCAGTGCCAGTGCCAGTGGCAGAGTTTTGGGGCAGCCGCACAAAATTCCTCTGCCCTCGGACAAATGCATCTAGTTATTATGATTACAGAACAGGATTTCTCTTCTGAACTTCTTGAACAATTATTGCATTAGGTGAAAAACACTGTTTTCTTTTCCACTTTTGGGGAAAAGAATAAAGGAAAAAAACAGTGTCAGAGAGAGATTTCTATTCTGAATTTTTTTAACGATTATTGCATTCATCAAACAATCGGTGAAAAACACAGTCCTTTCTTTTTCCACATTTGGGAACAGAACGTAGGAAAAAAAATAGCACGTGCGTGAGAGAGAAAGGTTAGCATAAGTAATGCTTGAAGAAGACAATGAGCAAGGTCTTGGTTGAAAAACTAGTGTAAAGTAATACCTAGCATGTCAATTTACATGTAAAGAGTAGTTGGTCCATGATAATGAAAGAAAGGCTACTATAAGAGAAATAATATCATACAACTATGAATCCTAATTTACACATCCTTTGACATTTTTGCCTCTGTAAATGGAATTCAGACTAAAAAGAGTGGAATGGTTTTTTTACATCTTGTAAAGTTTGAAAAAACGAAACGAGTAACAGCCAAAAAGAATATTGAGTCAGTTAAAAGATCTTGGGTATAAATTTTAGTTGAAGAGCATTTGAAACTTAGAGCCCGTTTGGTAGAGATTAAAATCGGATTAAAACTGAAAAACTAGCCGTTGTTATTGACTTTTATTAGACGACTGAGGCCCAATAACGGCTATATTTTCAATTTTAATTGGATTTTAATCTGTACCAAACGGGCTCTTAATCTACATAATAGTACATGGCTAAGACTCGTTAATGAAAAAGTGCCGAAAGGGCTTCTCACCTCACCCCAAGGTGGCTTCACTAATGAACCCAACCATTTGCCTTCATTCTAAAAAGCCTCAATTTCATGACATAGTTCCGTGTTCCAAAAATATTCTAGTAGAAAAACAAAAACCTGTCTTATTATTTTGCAATCCTTGTAGCAAAGTTCATTAATGTTCTTATTAATCCTTAAATTTTTATATCCGTATTTCGGGATGTATCAAGTCGAACTTTGAAAGACCAGAAAAGGAAGATGTGACATTTGAGCTGGGACAGAGGGTAGTTGTACGATTTTCTCTGTTCTTGCTCTTTGGACAACATCAAAAAGTAAAAAACTGATCGCGTAGTGTTCCATGGAAAGCCTTCTTTACGTATAAATAAAAGCCATAGTTAAGAATGAAAACGAATGCTGAAGTAAACATATGAAGATACCTCTTCAGCAAATAGTTCTTCAAGTACGCGGTTTATTTGTTTGTCTTCTGCTACCATAGCTAGCGCCATGCTCACCAGCTCATTTGATAGTACATAATCACTAATTCTTGACACTGATACCAAGTTTCTCGTCCTAGAATCCAATATTTCACTTATAATTATTGATTTGTTTGAAGCTTGTTGCAATTCATGTATCCATGAACTTTGGGAGAACCCAGAAAGCCGAAAAGGAAGGGTACTTGTGGCTTTATTTGGTAGACGTTTTGACTGCAATACATAAGCACAAGAAGCAGTTCTATTACAGAAGCACAAATTGTACAATGGAAAGACTTTGAAACGTTAACAGAAAGAAGTCAGGAGAGCAAATTTCAGATATCTGCACTTTCTGAAGATAAAACGCGCATAATCTTTCAGACAGTGATATTAACATATTAGACTATTAATTTCTTATCTTCGATTTAGAAGTGCATGATGATTAAAAAAAAAAAAAAAAGGAGAAAAACTTGCTTGAACAACATGCCAATTACATTCAAAAAGAAAAGAAAAGAACGTTCACATAAACATCTGAGAAGGCAAGGAGCAAAAATGATTTTAAAAGAAAAAACGAATGACTTCACACGGGGGGGGGGGTTGAATATCTAGAAACTAAACCCTAATGTTAAAAGATGAATATAAGAAATCAAACTGATAAGAGATAGAGATATCTAGCTATTAATACTATATGAATCAACAGAGAGCCAAAAAAGATATTACCTGTATATCACGGATGAGGAGGAGGGTGGCAAGAGACCGTGAATCGGAATGAACAATGGAGTCTTCCATAGATTCATCTGCAAGAATTAGAATCTGTTCTCTTAGAGTTAGTAATAGCCACAGCTACAGAAACTAAAAAATAAAATTCAAAACTCTTTGTGCATCCAGACAATATAACTGCAAATATGATGAACTAGAGCTCCAATCCAACTTGTCTCATTAGTTGGTTAAGAAAAGCAGGCTATTGAGGTAACGAAGCAGTACCAAACCTCTGTGATTCCTAATCACAATGCATTCAACCTAGAAAAACATGATACTGAGGTAACTAAGCAGTACCAAACCTTTGTGATTCCTAATCACGATGCTTTCAACCTACAGGTCTCATCCTCTTACCTCACCAAGTCTTGGGGTTTCACATCTTCACTAATATTAATAATTTCATGATGATAGCTCAAAATAAATAAATCCGTTTGCAGTGAAATGACAAATTATTTTTTTTTTTTTTTTATTTCCAATGGGCTTGCAAATAAAGAGTTGAAGTTGAAGACAATTTCTGATTTGGTATTGATAAACCAAGATCTTTTGTCAGCTACGTGATGCAAGCCACATAAGTGATGTAATGCTGTAAAGAATTCACATGACAATGGTTGATAGTTCAAAAACAATAGCATGCTGACACCAACCACAGAAAATGCAGAAACATCATTTCCTTCATAAACATCAACATTCAGACAATTTCACAGTATTTTAAAGATTGAAGTTCCAATATTGCTAAATGCCAAAAGGAAGGGTGCATAAAAAGAGTACAAGAACCAGAAAGTCTCCAAGTGCAGCATGGTGAAACTTACAGAATCAAATGTCTCTAAAGGAAGACTCTCTAAATGACGTCTGATGACGGCGTTCCCTTCATGATGGATTAGTTTTATATTTATTAATCCTGAAATATCAAGGCCACCATCTTTCAACTTCTTTTCTCGATCTTTTTCAGGAACCTCATTAAACATCCACAATTGCGATCCTGGAGCCAAAAATGCCTCTAGCACCTAATTTATGACAAGTGCATATAGTAAACAAAGTTTAGAAAGAATAAGAACTTCCAATGCATGGAAGCCGAGTTTCTTAAGCAATAACATTTGACAAAGAATATAAATGCATCTATGATATTTTGACTACAGGCTTTTTTGGTTTCAGAAAACAGTAAAAGGAAAAGCTGAGAGAAGAAAAAGAATATAAATGCATCTATGATATTTTGACTTTCCATGGAAGGAAAAAGGTAAGAAATGCATCCATGATATTTCTTATTTTATTCTCTTACAGGTAGCATAATCTAATGTCTACATGTCATCCATAAGAAAGAGAACATTCCTATGAAGCAAATAGCCTGCAACCAAATAAACATTCTAGTTTCCCATCTTTCTTGGCTTGTACCATGATTCAAACTAGATCCCAATGAAGGTGCAATCTATTACAGTTGTAATCCACTAGGTTAGACACTAGATCCAGCTTGTAAAAGAAGGGACGTCAAAGGAAAAATGTCAAAAAGATACATGTTCATGTAAAAGAGTCAACATAACAATGACAAACTAAGCCTAATTCCCAATAAATCTAGAGTCGCCAACATGAATCTTTATTTTTCTACTCTTCTCAAATAACCGCTACATTTACTGTAAGATCAAGTAGAATGAAATCATTCACAACCACATCTGACCATGTTATTTTTTATCTATCTCCTTGCTTCAAACTTCTGCTACGGGGATCACATCATCCTTGTGAATCAAATCCTCTTTATTTCTCTACAAGACATGCCCGAATTGTTCAAAAAACTGAGACTTGGTCACATTTATCGGAGTATAAAATTTTTTAACTCCATTAATTCAACTTAAGAGAGTAGAAGGGAGAAAAGGCCAAAAAAGGGTTAATATGATGAAATGTATTAAATATGATAAGTTTGGCAATGCAGACTGAGATGTAAAAACTACGGAAAAATTACCATAATCATGTCATCAATGTCACGCCTCCAACCACAAAATAAAATCTTTTCAGGATATTTTGGAGGATCGCGTATTCTAGGAAATAGGCCCATTCGCACCTGCAGCATAACATGCCTGAATAAATGAGAGAACCAACCCATACCTACAGTTTACTTAGTTTTATAACACTTCAAGAATATTAAATGTCATGCAAAATATTACCATTTTACGGATTCAACGTATCAGAAAACAAATCATAGCAATAACAATGGGCACAAGTATGAGTGTATTTTCCTATCCGATCACAGTTCGTCCTAGCTACGTTCATTCAAGTTAATGAATAGCAACAGCTAGTTTAAGTAGAAGTCGAGTAATAAGAACTTTATGCATTTTCTTCAATTCCTGAACTCGCTGCATAATTGTTTTCATCACTAAGCTTACTCACGATAACTGACAAATGATTGGCGTAAGATCTACAGACTTAGTCTCAAGGGGGCAGAGAATTTGTTGTCATTCAGCAGAGATCCAATTTATAAAACAGTGACACCAAGAAATTGAGAAAAATATAAAAAGTCGAAAGCAATTCTTACAAATCAACAGCAATAAGAGTATGTCTTAAAGTTGACTGCAACAAGCACCCAAGAAATTAAGGAAAAAGGATGAGTTATAATACGAAAGTCAGAGAGCAAGGCATTCCAAATATAGTAGCATGTAAGTTTTTAAAGCTAAAAGAACGAATGGTAGTCCTTTATAAGACATCTGCAACTTCATCAAGTGAGACAAAAACTGACCTCCGGCAAGGGGCCCGGGGCATATGTGTCATCATCCTCAGCTATGACGAGGATTTCATCGCCTTCTCTTAGGACATAATTATCATCTGGGTTTATTTTTATCCTTCCACCATCTGCAGCGACCTTAACTCCGCAAGGAATTGCATCAGGAAAGGAAATAAGCACTTGTTTAAAACGAAGATCGTCTAGTTGAGGCCATCTTTTAATATAAAACTCAGCATTTTCGAAACCCAAAATATCTTCCCATATCTGGCAAATCCAAGAAAAAGGTAGAAATCAACCCAATTCTCATGGTCCACTCAAACAATTCATAAATCGTGTTCTGGTCTAATAGAAGCCTAGAACGTGACCTACAGTCAACAAGTCAGGACTTTGGATAGGTGCCATTGTTTTAAAGGATATCCCATTTCTGATTAATCTGAAACCTCATTATTTAAAAGAGTCCATAATGTCTAGATGCTTTGAGGGTAATTTTATAGCATGTAATATCAGAATTTGACATCATATATTAAAATGTGGAAATTTACATGAGTTCAGCTTAGTTGGGCTATCTTCAGAGGATCCATGCAAGAGTGAAAAGAAAATAGACTGCATTTTTTTACTTTTGTTGAGTATTACAGAATCCCAGTCAGGTTGTTCAGCTTCACTACTACTAGAGTTTAAGTAATTAGTCCATCAACTTTTAGAGGTTTGATACCTTGGATATTATTTTTAAAAAATTCATACATAGAAACCTCAATTAGGGACATTAAACAACCAAGATCAAGATCTCTACACCAGTTATCATGAAATATCATGTGTTCTAAGATCCTTTATTAGGTCTCAAAACAACTAAGAACGTGATTATTAGTACAGTGGTTGTACAAGTAATATGACAAACATCTCCCCTCTTTGTATACATGCTGATGAACAAACTCTGAGCACACCAAAAAATAAATCTTTTTCATACAAGTTCAGATCCTCTTGGTATATGGACACTCTTTTGAAACATCCATCCCCTTAATGAAGAAAAAGAATAAGTAGCCACTCTAAAATGCTGTGTAAGTTGCACATCAAACAAATTAATATAACAAGAATAAGTCCAAAAAAATTCAAATAACAAGGAACACTAGTGGAGTCTGTAATACATATATGGTTTTATTTATAAAGGAGACCATAATACAATTAATAATTGGATGGGGAAAAGGTCAATCTACAGAGGGGATGCAAACTCTTGAGCACACCAAAATATAAAGGGTTTTTTTCGTACAAGTTCAGATCATTTTGGTATTTGGACACTCCTTTGAAATATCCTTCCCCTTAATGAAGAAAATGAATAAGAAGACACTCTAAAGTGATATATGACTTGCACATTAAATAAATTAATATATCAAGAGTAAGTCCAAAAAAATCTAAATAACAAGGAGCACTAGTGGAGTCCATAATACATATAAAGGAGACCGTAATACAATTAATAATTGGATGGGGAAAATGTCATAATCTACAGAGGGGATGCACATTCGGATTTTTTGCAAGAAAATAAATCTAGCTATGGCATTGATCCCCAAATTAATGCTTCAAAATAGAAGTGTACCAACTAATTAAAATTAGAATTACCATATTGTTTCAAATGGTGAAGGTTTCATCTTCCAAATAATAAATGGTCTGAACTAGAGCTTTTATGGGTGCAGAGGGGGTAGGATCAATAAATCTCAGACCCATTTAACTTCTGTTATTTGCAGATGCCACAATTATGAATTTTTTTTTTAACAGAATTGCAGTAACTGACCTGGGCAAGGCCAGGCTGCAGAGCACATTGTATCATCAGTCGTCCGATGACGTCATGGGCAACAACCGTTTCTATAAGTTCTCCTCCAACAAGCTTCACCAAGGGCTCATTGTCAAGATCACTCATTTCCACAACAACGTGGCCCCTCAACCCCTCTTTTACTCCAATGAGACTAAGCACAACCCTCAAAGCTCGTGCATCACTCTGATTTTGGAAATTTCAAAAAATGTAAGCATGTTGTTCATCAACACTACAAATATAGAAAGACATCTCAAAGTGAATTAAGAAAAACCTGATCAGCATTCTCATCAGATGCTAATACAATTATAGCTCGTGCTTTGGAGACTGAAACCTGCATGCAAGACAAAGAATGTCACTTTATAGAGCTCTGCGAGAGGGATAAAAGTGTAATTGGGAAAAAAAATACAATGAAAAAGGTAATAGTAATGTGTGTGCGCGCGCTCACGCGTGCACGCCTGCACAAGTGTAGATAACCTTTTTCAAATCAGCAAGTATAAGAGGGCTGCCACTTCTGCAGATTACAGATGTTCCCATGAAGTCAAATTCAAGTTTTGCTATTTCCAACTCCATTTCCTCCTTGTCTCTTTCTGCAAGTACAACAACAACACCACCACCAATGCTCTTATTTGCTATTGCTAGTTGCTTCAGAAGTGAACCCTGTGATCGATATCATCTCTTAACCTCAAATTCAAAAAATATTAAACATTTTCTACATGAAGTTTCTTAGAGATCAATTGTATAGGAGTCACCACAAGTGAAGATCTCAGGTGTGCTCAATTTTTCTGTAATGTTAAGGGCAAAAAGAAGATCATATACAAGCTAATTATGAACTCAATAAATTCTGTGCACGAAGAGCTTGACAACATGATCAGACACAATTACCATGCATGAAGACCTGTTCAGATATTTACAATTCCAATTGCTAATTCCAGAAGAGGAGATAAGCTTAGGCACTCTATTATGCACGTGCTTCACCGTGTTTTGCTGAGATATTCTAATTTTAGAAGCCTTTCACCCAGCAAAGATGCATTTCTGTTTGCAAAATATATGAGTCTATGACTGATGGGTATTATAAGAGCATGTTTGGGAAGTGTTAATAAACCATTTACATTATAAATAGATAGAAATGAGTGGTAAATAAGTGGATAGTACTTGTTGATTCCTCGAGATGTGTGGATAAAGAGTGCTTGTGTTTCAAAACCGTTTATAAAAATGGGCCAAGCATAGCGTAACTCTCATCAATAACTCCAACTAAATTTAGAAAAAGTAGGTAAAACAACACTATTAACACCTATTGCCAAATGACGACCCAATGAATGAAAGTTGTGTAACATATTGTATTGCATTCATATTTCCATCTCTTTAAATTGACCCCTTGTCAGTTGTCCCTCCTTTATTGGACTTTTAAATATTTTTTTAATTTCCCTCATATATATTTTTCTAACATTTTTTTAGTGAAGTAGTAATAATTTCCCTCCATACATACTCCTTATCTGTTATATAGCAATTATAAAGGTATGCAAATTTTAGAGCTTACAACTACAAATCATGATGACAAAGAAAAAGCCTCTTAACAACAATAATACAAACTTAGGAAACAAGTTCCTAAGGAAATTTACCAGTTTGTCACTCCATCCAAGAATGAGAATATGGTTACTTTCAATAACCTCACTCTTTCCTTTCCGTAGTGAGTCCACCTTCTCCGAAATAGCATCTGAAACAAGCCCTAGCATCATTGCAAATATAAGCATGCCTCCAGAACTAATAGAAACCGAAACAATCCTTGGCCCAGTACCGACCCGATCTGCATGATTTCCAGAGTCCGCCACAAAGGTCCAGGCAAGCCAAAGAGCTTCCGTAAAGCAGCCATCACTTACAGCATATAATGCCAAGCCTCCAAATCCAATAAGAAATAGTGTGGCAAAGAGAAGTGCAAGCAGCTTTGCATATGGATAAACAGAGAAACATACATCCACGATATAAGCAATTCTCTTCTTCAGTGGAACCTCCTCTTTGTTATCTTTTGTCCTCTTTGAGAAATTTTTAATCCTTGGAAGATAGTCCAAATATTCGTACATCATAAACGGTGTAATGAGAATGAAAATAACTGTACACAGAGCAACTGCTCTACTGTCAGCATTCCCAAAATACAAAAATGATGTCCCATTTTCAAGCTTCAAAACTTCATAGCTACTCTCATTAACACCATCTTTTTGACTGCATAATGTATGAAGGTTAAAATTCTCTTCCTGCAAGAAAATAAACCTCAGTAGTTAAGTTCTAAACCATAAATTATTGAAAGAAATTCACCCTGGATTTCTTGCTACTTAACCCACCCAACAACTAAAGAAGCCTATTGATTTTCTTTACTAAAAGAGAGGAGGAAAAACAAACCGTGATGGTAATGAAAAATTCTAAAGTTTTAAACAATATAGGAGTGAAATGAGGTCATTGAAAGGGGAAGCATTACGAATACCTAAACAATATAGGAGTGAAATGAGGTCATTGAAAGGGGAAGCATTACGAATACCTGAAGCCTTTTAACTTCATTTCGCACATGAATGGCATAAGCAACAGAAAATAAGCAAAGCTGCAATTGAAAAGGATAATAAATCAGCAGAAAATCATCCAAAAAAAAAAAAATAAGCCTAAATAAAAAAAATGCCATTTTCTTTCCAAATCGCCTTCTGGTTCTATAACCATATTATGTTTGCCAGACAAGAATGAAAATAAAAGACTATTTTTACCCCGAAAACTAGATTTTAGTTATTTAATATTCTTCTCAAAAGAAGTAACAAAAGTTACGTAGTTCTAAAGGTATTTTGATTCTTTACTTTTTTCCTGCTTCTAATTTTCGGCATATTCTTGACAACGATGGTATTCTAGATCACAGACCCGGGAAGGGGGGGGAGTCTACAGTGATTTTCATTAAGAAATCATCATAACAGGAAAAAAAAAATCGACATAAGAATAAGATAAGAAAACTTACCAAATTTAGAATCCAAGAAATTCTAAATCTGGAAATTTTCCGAGAACTACAAGAATTAGCTGAATTCTGTCTAGAACACAACGAGGAGGCAGTTAAAGGAGAAGCTGCAACTGAGGATTGAATTGACAACGGCTTCAAATCTTTATCAACTTTGAGCTTCGTCTTACTTCTGGGAACATCAGCCCTGCGCAGCGAGTCCACTGCGGAAGCACGATTTCCACCAGCACTTAAAATCGAAGGCATCGAGGTGCTGCGCATTGGCGATTGAGAAGCCAAATTCGGCGATTTCGAAGAAGATGACTTGACAGTAACACTTCGTCGAGTGGAGTAAGGTCCGAGATTGGAAGGGAAAACATAGTCCCTATCCGAGAAATTGAAACTAAAGGCATCGCTGCTGGTGGAGGCCGAGCTGGTGGTGGTTGAAACGGTAGTGGAAGCAGCGGAGGAGGAAGAGGAAGAAGAAGAAGAGCTCGAGGAAGGACGGCGGACGGCGGGGAAGAGTGGACCAGGGAAGTGTGGTGTACGCGCGTCATCCGGAACCGTAATTTTGGATTTCTTCAACACCGGCGGGTGCTCGGGCTTCGCCGCCGGAATATTATCGGAATCTCCACTGCTGCCAGTCATTTGTCCACGAGAAGATTCGAGTCAAATGTAGTGAGAGTTCCAAGTGGACACTACTTCCAGGATTTAATGTTCGGACCAAAAGAATGTTATTATTGCTAATGATAATTTTGTACCATGTTAGTTACCATAATTTTGTGGGACTTCACATTTGACTGATTTTTGTCAAAAGAAAAATATCAAATCGATTCATTCTTTTTGTTCCCAATTATTATTCATTGACGTTGAGAAAAGATTTTTTCATCATTATCTTCAGGTGAGTTTAGCAAAACTTTTTACTCCGCTCTACTTTTCGTAGAAGAGTTTCTTGATAAGTTAGAGTGTGTTTGGTAGAAATTAAAATCGGATTAAAATTGAAAAACTAGTCGTTATTGTTAACTTTTATTAAACGGATGGAACCCACTAACGGCTATATTTTCAATTTTAATTGGATTTTTAGTATTACCAAACAAACTCTTAGTAGGCTACATTAGAGTCATTTGACAAGATTTTTAAAAAGTCGATACTATTTTTAGACTAAAAATTTACTTTTAAACTTATTTGAATAAATTTTTGGGAGTGTTTCAGAAAACTCATATTCAAGAAGCAAAGCAAAAATACTGTTTAATGGGTCGACTTTTTCTAAATGCTCTTCTAACCAGACTAAATATTTTCAAAAAATTATTCAAACGGATTCAAAAGTAGTTTCTTAATCTCAGATACAGCTTTCAATTTTTCAAGAGTCTTATAAAACGGACATTTGCCTTCTGAGTTTTTCAATTGTGTTCTATGTTTGTCATGTTTCACTACAAAAGATAATTCGGAGGTTCATTTCTATTTAATTATTTCCTATTAAACTTAGTTGACTTTTTTAGTTTAGTAAGAGCATGTTTTGCGAAACTTAAAATCCAATTAAAATTGAAAATATAGCCGTTATTGGGGTCCCACTCGTCTAATAAAAATTAACAATAACAGTTAATTTTTCAATTTTAATCCAATTTTAATTTCTACAGAACACGCCCTAAATTTATTGGGTCGATTTTTAGGTGGCATTTCTCCTCTCTTCGAAGAAGTTACAATTGAGTTGATTTCAACTTCCAAAAGCACGATCCTACACAAATTGAAGTTGATCTCAAGATGTTTTCAACTTTAAGACAAACATGCCACCCATCAAACTCGTGAGTGTGAAAGGAGATTTGGAAGTGTCATTTTTTCTTTCTTTTTACAGGTTTAAGATTGAAGAAGTCAAGTCAAAAAGAATAACTTTTGAAAAATACAAGTTCCCATTGAATCTTAATTTTTTAATATACAGATTGAATCTTAAAGCCTAAGTAAGATGGAAACAAATTGCAAATTGACTTTTTTCACCTTGTCTAGATTTCACTGTGCTATATTTTAGTATCCCACTTGTACTTCTACACGATTTTTAGGGTTCACGCGTCTATTAGAGTAATAAAGTGAACCTTTATGGTTAAGCTCATGTATGAATTAGATAAAAATTATAATTTTAGTAGATTTTGATAAAAATTAATTGAATTTCATAAAATGTGTATTTATTTAAATTTTAATTCACTTTTTTAATTGAACCAAATATGAAATAAATAAGAATTTGGTATAAAGGTCATGTAAGATGTCCATTTTTTTTATTTGGAATAAAGATTTTTTNCTTGGTACAAATAGATTAATTCATCTTAAAGCCTAAGTAAGATGGAAACAAATTGCAAATTGACTTTTTTCACCTTGTCTAGATTTCATTGGGCTATATTTTAGTATCCCACTTGTTCTTCTACACCATTTTTAGGGTTCACGCGTATATTAGAGTAATAAAGTGAACCTTTATGGTTAAGCTCATGTATGATTTAGATAAAAATTAATTGAATTTCATAAAATGTGTATTTATTTAAATTTTAATTCACTTTTTTAATTGAACCAAATATGAAATAAATAAGAATTTGGTATAAAGGTCATGTAAGATGGCCATTTTTTAATTTGGAATAAAGATTTTTTTTTTTTTTTATGAAAATCATTCAAATTAAAATGAAAGTTATAAACATTATTTTTCACTCAGCTTACGGCGAATTTCGTTTTAATAATTTAGCTTTATTATGTTTCTTTATTGAGCCCCTATGTGACAACCATTAAAATAAATTCTTTTTTTTCTAAAATTTATTTTCAAACATACATTTTCACAATAAAATATTTTACGCGCAAATTCGAAACTTTTCTTTACCTTTTAACCACACATTTTTTCCAAAAAAATCATTATTCCAAAGTTCATTTTTCCCAAAAAAAAAAATGGTTTTTTTTTCACTGACATCGTACGTTTGAACTTGAATTTGTTCATGAAATTTGCTATCACTTTTATAAATACTAGTGTACGCACGTGCGATGCACGTACTGCAATTTAGTTGGGTATTTAATAGCGTGGAGTGATTCTGAATTATTTTTCCAGTTAATGTTCAAATACTGTGAAATGGTACTTTAGTGTGAGCCGAAAGACAGTGTTACAATGAAAATAGTATAAACAAGAAACGGTGTCGAAAAGGAAACAAACATAAACCAAATATTCAAGATCCATGAGAAATCCGGATTGTGTAGGACCCATTTGCCAGTTACCACCTTAGGCAAACCCTCAATTGCTTGACTTTCCTTGGGCTCAACTGCAGGAAGTGGGTTTACGTTAAGGGTTTTAAAGGTGGTTGCGATGATGGTTTTTCAAAATAACAATAAAAAAATAATC